CTAGAAAAATAATGTAAAATTAAATTATCAATAAATATGAATAAATACGAAAAATTGAGATAGCCCTCACAAGAAAGCAAATATGATTATTAATTTACTGACGCATTGTTTATTAAATAAACTAGTTCAACTATACTCTGAACAGTCATTGAAATATTTCCTGTTCTTCTTTCACCTTATCTAATATGTATATTTTAAACATCACAACGCTTGCATGCATTATTTAATTTTTCACATTCAAAGATAAATCCATAGATATATATTCCAGAATTAATATTTATATTATATTAATATATATATCTTCTAGTTCATTCATTTAAAGACAATGACTTTATGAGGTTCTATATTTATCTATAATATTTTTTTCATGAATCTATTATCTTAAATCAAAATAAAGAATAATTCGTCACTCACTATAGGCAACGGCGACGTTGTAACTGCGTTGTGATCTGTAAAATACAAGCAAAATACAAGAACTGTTATAACGCGCGCAGGAAATAATTAATATTTTAAATAATAATAACTATCAATCTTGATATAGGCTCCAATGAATAAATTCAAGGATAAATGTAAAATCAGCCAATGCGAGTCAATACACACAAGTTAGACATGTGTAAAATTGTATACTTCATTCTTGAAAAAAAATTAACAAACGTTTCAACCCTTTCGATTGGGCCTTTCTCAGTGTAAAAATAAAAACCTTCGAAACCTTTATTAAATCACAAATAATCTGAAAGATTTGAGTATTTTGTTAAATACAGACAGACAACATTTTATGAATACATGATTAAAAAAACGATACTCCAATTTGCTTCGCATCGCATCTTTTTTTATTAAATTTAAACATTTTTATTTTTACACTGAGGAAGTGGTCGGAACGTTTGTTAATTTTTCTCAAGAATAAAGTATACGATTTTACACACGTCTAACTGTTGATTCGTATTTGCTAATTTTACATTTATCCTTTGATTTAAACAATAATGCTACCATTTTGCCGTTAAACTGTTAGCGCGTGTGTTGACTCGATTGCTACAATGTTGGTATATTTAAGATTCGAGACCGTTAAAGATAAATTTATACGACAAGTTGCCAGCATTATAGACAATCGCAGATTTGCGCGATTTTGCTAAGCATGCTTGGTTATCTGTGTAATTACCTCGAAGTTGCTCCGCCGACGCACGATGCCGCCCAAACCTCCTCCTCCTCTCAGACCTTCCTCGTTGCACTCACACAACACTCGCGAGAACACGATTAATTACAATCGCGAAACACAGTTACCGAAATCAATGATCGCACGTCACTTCAAATCACTTTGAACGACGCTCCCAATGTTTATCGTGCGAACAGTGCAAAACGCGGACGCTTTATGCCCATAGACGCAGTTGTCTAGATTGAACATTCGAGGAGTGGGGATAGAAATATAGAAAACGAACTCATATAGAAAACGAACGTACTTATTTGGCCCATTTGCGACCTCTCTCGTTCGCGCCGCGAAATGAGAGCACTATTTTTTCTACGTGAACGTTCAATCCTCAAATTTCAAAAAATGCTTTAGAGATGTGTAGGAGAAGACACTATTGGCACTGTTTGTACCATTCTATTCTTGTTTTACATGTCTAATAACAATGATGAAGATTTAATGACATAAATAGCGTTAATAACGTCTGAATGCACCTTAGATATGAGTTTCGATCGTTTAATGCTCACAACGGTCGCGAATATTATTTATCCTTATAGGTAATTTATTATCTATTTATAAATTAATGAAATGCATTGTAATGAGACCAATAGAAAATAAAACGGAAAGGATGTAGATAGAAATGTGTAGTTAAAGAATATAAGGAAAGATAGAGAGAAATGCGAGTAGAGAAATGTTATGTAGAGATAGAGGTAAATAAGAAAAGGAATATAAGGAATATATATAAAAAAAAAAAAATATAGACAATAATAGACTGTGATAGGGCTATGATATAGAGATTATGTATAGATAAAAGAGAATGTATAATAATAGTTTAGGTTTGTAATTGTAAAATGTGGGAGAGAAATGTAAGTATGAATGAATTAAGTATTTCTATAAACCAAGTCTCCTTCTAAGCTGTATATGTTGAAATGTAAATAAATTCTATTCTATTATTTATCCTTATTTAACACTCGATTAACAATAAGAACAATAAGAAATAATTCCATAAAGCAAGCGTCGAGTGGAACGCTATGTCTATAATTATGCCGCGTCGCGACGCGAATCAAACATGGCGCGGGGAGGAAGAGGACAGTCTCGTCAAACTAAATTCCACGCAAGTGGCGAGTCGCGTAAGTCACGTTTCACGAAACGAAGGGGAGGAGCGATGAGGTACGGTCGTCCTTTTGTCGAATTCCAGCCTTGCAGATCTCAATCAAACGAATGTCGTGGAGAACGCGTGACTTGACGAATAGCCGACCCTGACCGACACGTAGAACTTACGTTACGCAAATACCAAACTACAAACATAAGGCGGGGGAGCATAGTCTTGCATAAAGTAGAACGCGTAATACATAAGAAAATTAACCAATCAAAGATCGATATTCATAGTCAGTTCTTATTTCAAGACCGTCTTAATAAATAACATCTTAAGACGCTAATGCGACCCTCCGATTGGTTCGTGACACCTCAAGACAAAACTTAAGACGATCATGAATATAAGAACTGACTATGAATACCGACCATAGTCCTTCGTTTTCTTATTCATAAGAGACCCTTGTTGATTTTCTTACGCTTTATTATACGTTATATTATGCACGATTCTGTGCTGCCTTAGTCGCGGATTGTATTTACTAGATTAAACGCGTCACTACTTGAGACAGACTGCTGTGTATCCCCGACATTCTCAAAGAGCAGCAACTTCACGTCAGTGACACAACACGAGTCAAGCTGGCAACTGCAATTCAAACGTACGGTCGATTTGAAAATGGACGATCAAAGCGCGATATTGTATAGTCGTACGACGATTTCAAACAAAATACATTTATTATTAACGATATTTATTACTGATGATAGATATATTTGCTCGTGAATTGCGCATTATTTCGCATTGATTCGGTCGTAAGAATCAGCCAATCGCGGATCGATTTTTGAGGCCAGTATTCACGACGAAACTTGAAATAAGACTGTGAATAGTGTGATAATTCTATAATTTCCGCGTATAAGGTGCGATGGCGCACTTTGAGACACTCGTCGCAACTGCGTCTTGAGAGATATTGACGATATACAAACAGTGGGTCGCGCCGCGCAAACAACATGACGTCACGACCTTGGATACGTTTAGCGGGCGTCATGAGTAACCGTCGCGCCGCGAGCGGCGTATATACACGAATAATGGTACGTGCGTAAGATGCTCTGCCAGAAGTGTTAGTCCAAGATACTCGACGTGTGCCGGAGCATTGCGAGACACTCGATGTTACAACGTACAAGTATGTAAAGCGTATGTACGCTCCATCCTTCGCATCTCGCAATTAATCTTATAGCTATATTATTACTGCGCATCTTATATCTCTTCTCGCGCGCTCGTTATGCTAGTTCTGCTCGATCGACGATGTGTTCGTTTCATACGTTTGATAAGCTCGTTGCTTATTTATAAAAGTATCTGTTTTTCCTACATTTCACTCAAAGAAAAGCTTGCTTCGATTTAAAAAAAATTTTCTTTACTATACAGTTAAAGAAAAAATTCCTTTGATTTATGAAAAAATTTCTTTGATTTAAATATTTTTTTTTAATCAAATAAAATTTATTTGATTTAGAGAAATCATAATTTGAACATTATTTCTTGGATTTAACATAATTAAACATAATTTTTTTAAATAAAATAAATTTTATTTGATTTAAAAAAATAATGTTTAAATTAAAGAAATTTTTTCACAAATCAAGGAAATTTTTTCTTTAACCGTACGGCAAATAAAGAAAATTTCTTTAAATCGAAGCAACTTTTTCTCTGGATGTTTTTTAAGCAACTCCTTGGAAAAAATTTGTTCGAATGTGTCCGAAATTGTCCAAAATATAGTCAAAATGTATTCGAATTCGTCCTAAATTTCTCCGAATGTATCCGAAATGTTCAAATTCGGACGAATTATAGAACTTAAAATGAAATATTCTCCGTCAAATTTCAGATAATAATAATTTCAGGTAATATTGTCTGAATTTGTTAGAATTTGTCATTTTTTTATATTTTTTGGACTCTTACAAATTTTTTCCACCAGGGACTATAAAAAAAGAGAAAGTTATTTCTATTGTATTACGATTGCGAGATTGTTATGTCGAAATATCTTAATTATTCGTACATATCTAATAAGTGCAATTACAACTTTGTATAATATGAAAAATATAGATGCAAAATAATTACATCAAATTTATTGTTGAGTACACATATTTATTTTTATTTTTTTGTGTAAGTTAAGGCACTCGTTTTGTTTCAGGACAACCTGCACTCCGAAATGCAGTGAATTTAGATCAACTGATCGATGATACTTGCGAAGGAAGCAACGAGAGCCCAACTTATCCCTTAAGCGATCACCGATTACTTGAAGGTTCCGTATTTTATGCGATTTTTCTATCTTCCTGCTTTTCCGAAAAGAAAAATGTAAGTTACAAGAAAAGCATTGGATTTTACCTTACATTTTAAATTCAGCATCGAATATTATCTAATTATTATTTGTTTATTAATTTTATTTTTATTCCACGCAGTAAAAAACATTTCGTATTTTAAATCGATCGTTGTTAAAATTTTTTGGTTGAAAGCTTAATATATCAGTGTTAATTTAACATAATGTGATTCTTATTTAAACATTTTGTGCTAAATTAATGTTCAACATTTCTTCAGTTAAAATAATACACTTTATTCATAAGTGAACAATTAATATAAAAATAATGTATTTTGAAATGAAAATTTTTAAATATTAATTTTATTGAAATGTGTCAATTTAACATATTATAAGAAATGTGTAATTTTACCGAAGAAATGTACCTTCACAATTTATGCCAATTTTTTATGTAATAATTGTATATTATATTATTTCTTAAAATAGTCATCTTATGTTAAATTAACACAAAAATTTGAATAGACCGTTTGAGATACGTTAAATTTAATACAAATTTTCCAACTGTGTAATTTAATTCGCTCGCTTTATAATTCATTGTATTTTATTTCAATATCTTGATTGAATTTATAATGCACATGAGATATAAAAATAACAGTCTTTTATAAAATTCCAACGAGATAGATTAAAATTAATCGTGATGTAATTCTAAATAATATGAGTCAGTTGTATCGCGACAGCGACAATTTACAGCGCGACATATAGACGACATCGCGCACCGAAATCTCCAGCATAATCCGCGACGATCTCCGAACGAGCTTTTAAGCATGTCGCACGGATTTCTCGGCGTCCTTTCTAGCGTCATAAAATTTCTTAGCAACTCCCCCGCGCGAACGTCGCTATTCGTCCTACCCGGGAAGAATAATCTTGCAAGCTGAAAAGGAGACGTGGAATGATGACTCAGTCGGTAGCTTTGCAAGAAGACCCCGAAGGCGACATTTTAACAGTATCCCCATCGCCGGATGTTTCATATCCTTCCTTTGTCTCCCTCTGGGTATGCGTACGTCAGTTTGTCTAGATCCGTATGTGCACTGTGAAGTGAGAACGAAAACCGGTGCGACTCAAAGATATAAAAATGATAGAATGTGACAGTCGTCACAGTTGAATAGTGTTTATTTTAATACGCGCTTCCGCGAATTTCGAAGTAATTTGCAAAGTAAAATCGAAATTGAAAGCAATGTTTAGAGGAGAGAATTTCCTAGGGATTAATATTATCGTAAGGATAATTCTAAGGGAATTAATATACTCTCCCGGTAGCTTTAATAGCTTTTGGGACACGGTTGTTCTTTGTGGTCAAGTTGCGTCCAACTCGCACAAATGTGCAAACGAACGTAGTAAACTCAAGGTAGAATGCATATGTGAGTACATCTATGAACGTCTATAGCCGCAGGCCAGCCACGCAAACATACGCTGAACATTCGCAAAAACATCGCCGCACGCGAGAAACCCCGTGAATGGTTTGCGGACGCTCACCATGAAGCACCATGAGTGAGAAGCTCTTGTTTAAATCCTTCCTAAAGCCAGGAAGTCGCTTCATAAGTTTCTCACATGATATTCTAGATAGCATTTCGAAGTAAATAAATTCTCATATGTTCTCAGAAAAGCACGTTCGCAATCCATGAGAAATTTTATTTTCTTTTACTACGTTTGTGTGTGTGTGTGTGTGTGTGTGTGTGTGTGTGTGTGTGTGTGTTACTTCATCGTTTTACTCTTTTTTCCATGAAAAAATAAGATAAATTATTTTTCTGGATATAAATTTCGTTCAATGTTATATTGTGATATTAATAAATATTTTAATAATCTTAAAATATTACTTAAGATGATCTTAAAATAAGAACAAACTATGCGAGGAGAGAAGAGTTTAGCTAAAGTTAGTCTAAAAATCAATAACATAGATCAAGCATGCTTTTCAGTAGTGGGGGATGAAACTAGAACTTAACAGTTTAAGTAGCCGTTGAATATTCGTGCTATTTCATTTTATTTCATACCTGCAACTGTCAAGAGCAAAGAACATTCCCCTCTTTTAAGAAAGAAAGAGACACATGGACTCTGTTAAACTACCATCTTCCGGTTTCAAGCTATGGACAGAATACTTGGTCTATATGCGTATGTCATTATTAAAAATTTAATTAAATATAAATTAGATAACTTTATTGAATTTTCAAAATAGTTACATAGGATGTTCAAGCTGGATACTAGAATGTGTCAAAATTCTTTACAACATACTTACTTATTATGTACGTTACTTATTAAATTTTAGCATCCTATACATAACAACTTTAACAACTCAACAAAATTATTTTCAGATTTGTATCTAACTAAATTTTTAGATGCTTCTGCAAAATCGTTCTTTTCATGTAAATATTAGCCTTTTAAATAAAACCTAATAATGATATTTAATTATGATATTAAAATATGAATAGAATTGCTTGATTCAAGGAGAACGGATAAAATTGAAATTCACAAAAGCAGATTATTCAAAAAGCGTCAGAAGAAAACTTTAATCTACAATTGAACGAAAACTTAATGGCGGACCATCGGATTCTGTGGAATGCGGCACAGCAGCTACTTGGCAATCCGCTCAAATACGCTGCATCCGCGCGTCCAGAAGCCGATCGGACTGCCTATCTTCTGTTCCATCTCACAATCCGGCTCCGCTCGGTACACCTCCCACGGTATCCTCCTCCCACGATGGTCGTGGGAAACCACATTCTGGCGTGACTCCAAATTGCGTGCAAAACCATCAGTGGTAAATGCGAGTCGAGCGTCGAGGAGTGGATGGTCGAAGAGAGAGAGAGAGAGAGAGAGAGAGGAAGAAAGGAAAGAGAGAAACAGGAAAGAGTTGCTGTCGATCGCGATCGATTGATCGTGGCTGCCGTACGTTGAAAGGCAATTAATCATTAATGACCTGCCGTAAAAGAACGGCATCAGCTTTTAGCAGGAGAACTTTTGAAGTGCGGGACGGTGTACGATGAAGTACACCGTAGTTCAGCGATACAGCTGATAATGAAATTCGCAGTTGTTCGTATCAGAAAAGTGCATTTCTTAAAACCGTTACCTTGTATACTCATATTGCTTTATTTATATAAAAATCAAATCTTACTTGTATATTCTTATACATTACATAAATCGATTTTATTCGTAAACGCTCAAATTAATAAAGTAACAGATGTAAGAGGAGAAAAATTATATATAGTTTTTCGATTTAACTTCAATTTTCTAGTAACTCGAAATGAAACGAATGGAACGTTGACATAGTCGTACTTTATAAGTTCCACTTGTTGCCGTAAGTTACACGCGAACGTGAAGCTCGAAGTGACGGCCCAATCGTGTCTTTTTCGCGATAATTGACTGTGTGCAAGTACTTCACTGACAGTCCAATTACAGCAAGAAGATACTTACAATCAAGCCAATAATTGTCGTCGACTGCCGCGGATAGCACCGAGCTGCAATATTCGACGATGGCAGCCGATACATCGACGGTGGCAGACGTAATTAGCTCGACACCCAGCACTGCTTCTAGATTTCAATTTTGTCGACGAGCACAGCGGATTACAGATACACGACGGTCTTCTCGCGACATCAGAGAATAATGGTTCGCCGTACCTAATCGTACTTTTACGGGATCCTCTTGATTATAGGATGCTCGTTAATTCGCGTTACGAGCTAATACTCGTTTCGCATTACGTATTTTACAAAATGTAGCATCACCATTTGATAGTTAAAAGATCATAATTATATAAAAAATTATCTTAGTGAAATGAATTAGTTTTCACATATATGTAACTTAATATAATGTGATGAACAAAAAAGATGTCATATACATCAAATTCAATAATGAACAATTTTCGAACTATAATGTATCAAAGGTGCTCTGTGAGCACAAATTTTATACCTTTGATATAACTCAAAAATTATCCATTATTGAGTCTTGTGTTCGTAACATCTTTCGTTTATCATATTATAAGCTACATCCCTAACAGTAATTTATTGACAATACATTGGCAGTTGACATTGCATTAGGTATATACCGGACTAATTGCATTAGGAACATATTAGGTCAATATTATGCCAATAAATAGTGCTACTGAGGATGTGAAAACTAACTCATGTTACCGGGACTTTTTTCATATGATTTTTCACATGATTAGTGTAGGGTTTTCTATATGAAGTGATGTTAGGATAAAAATATGTTACTATTTAAATTTACTATTAATTTTTAATTTTTTTATTTATATTATTATAAAAATTGTCATTTTAAATAAAAATGTCAAACGGTTCCATTTTCTTTATATTACATCCGCAAAAAATTGAACTATTCTTATTAAAATGAACTTTTAATATTTATTTTTTTAAGTGTGTTGTATTATTAATTCCTGACTTATTAGTACCTTTTAATCGACATATATTAAATGAGGCTCACTGAGTCAGTGTTAATAATCGTATTAATAACTTACACATTTTGATATTAATTTCAAAGAATTAAATTCTTGACGGTATTTATAATATATATAATTTATAACACGTATTAGAAATATTTAGTTCACATAATAAAATAATTCATGTTTCTGTTTTCTCTTTTAATCAAGATCTCAAGAATCACTTTAAATGGCTCATCATATACATTTCGATATTAATATCGCTGATCCACTCGAGCCGACGAAGGACAGAATTGACTCTGTTTTAGTCAGATGGGAAATTGAGTTCTGGATATGAAATAATTAATGCTAGGTCGCAGGCGACGCGGACTTGCGCGTCACCGTATTACGTCCTCGACCTATTCGCTTTCGTCCGCAATCCCAAAGCGCGTCCCCGCCATCCCGTCCACCTAATCCCTCCAAGTCCCTCGCGTCGCACCCTACGACCCTTCGTTCACCTGTATCACCCTCTGCGTCTGCCCTGACCGCTGCTGCCGACGTCGTTTCCGGTCA